TGCTATGGGCCTTTCTAGAATTTTTGTTAGTCTCATTTGTCAATGAAGCTGATCCTTGAACAACTTCTGTCACTTTGTTCTTCTTCTTCAAGATTGTAGCTATGGTGAAATGGGACATGCCTGCAATAACCATCACTGATTTTCCACCTTTGTAGTCCTTAATCACTTTTTGTTTTTTTCCATGTCAATCACTCGACATGGTAACCTTAGCAGTGGATTTTGTACACTTAGGGACCATGATGAACAAAACAACATACGACTAAATCAAGTACAAGAGAAAATGATGCAATCAAGAGATATGGTAGACATGAGATGTATGAGGCTCCTGCTTGTGTAACATAACATACTGTTTTACAGCAAACTTTTTTTATAAGTAGAAAAACTACATTCTGAAATAATGGTAGAAAATATAGGATAGCTAATACACAAATCAATAACATAATAACGATTATCATCATCAAGTATTATGTACTGTACATAATTGTATGTGCTATACTTTTATACCACTGGCAGTACAGTAGGTGTTTACACCAGCATCACCACAAACTCATGAGTAATGTGTTGTGCTATGGCGTATGATGGCTATGAAGTCACTAGGCGATAGAAATTTTTCAGCTCCATTATAATCTTATGGGACCACCTCTGCATCTGTTGTTGACTAAAACATCGTTAAGTGGCACAGGACTGTAATAAAATAAAAACGTAAACTAATAAAATAATGGTGAAGGGGATAAAGAAACCCAAAAGCTGATTCTTCAAAACACATCAATGCAATAGCTAAACTTCTGGGAATACTAACCCAGAAAGAAAGAGGAAAAAAAACCCCACAAATAATTAACATTAGGAATAAAAAAGAACCATAATTTTAGAAGCACTGATAATTTAAAACATCTGAAGAGAACACTGACAAATTTATGCTTATACATTTGAAAAACTTAGATAAAATGAAAAAAAATTAGAAAACCTGAGCTACTAAAATTGACTCCAGAAGAAAACGGAAAACCTGAATATTCCAATTACCATTAAAGAAATCCAATCAGTAGTTAGAAGTTTCTCCCCTGTTGTCCCAACTCCTGATACTGCCAACTACCTCCAAATATATTGCAGGTTCAGATGATTTCAAAGGCAAATTTTTACTAAACCTTGGCCAAAGAAAATTTTTTTTAAATCCCTATCCAGTGGTTTAAAGCTGTTATTGTCCCATCTTTTGACCTCCATATTTTCTTATGAGAAGTCAGCAGTAATTCCTATCATTATTCCTCTGTATGTAATATGCCTTTTCCCTATGGCTGCTTTCAAGATTTTGTTGGTTTACAGTAGTTCATCTTTGGTTACAGCAGTTTGACTATAACGTGCCTACATGTGATTTTCTTCCTACTTATTCTGTTTGAGGTAGTTGTTCCCATGCTTGTGTTTTGTTCCACTTTTTGTCTATTTCTAGATTTTAATTTCTGGTGCTCTATCCTTTGTTTCAGACATAGGTTGGAAGGGCCAGGAGTGGGGGTAGGTGGGTAGGAGGCATGCATGGCCCCCTCTGCCTCTGTCCTGATTCCTCGGCATATATCAGTCCCCATGTGCCTGTGAGGGCTTTGTCTACTTCATAAGTGGATGTCCGTTTAACTTAACCTGCCCATGCCTGCAAACACCATGGGCTGCCTGGCAACAGAGGAGGTAGATGCCCCCAGCACATATTCCTTGCATTACAACTTTAATGGATTCCTAAGCTGAGCCAAAAATATTCTAGTTACAAAAAAAATACATTTCAGATCCATGCCATCACTCATTCTGAAGCATTAAAAAACTTTGGATGGGCCTTGGTCAAGGAGGAATAGCTCTCAAATATAATAGTTCAGCTGCTGATAAAACTTAATAATTCTAGTAAGGAAATATGACCTAGAGATACCATAGCTCTGCCAGGTTGCCCTTTTAGTGATCTACTGAAAACCCACCCGACACATTGATTATGGCCTATGGAACCTCTGCAGCCTGGGTCCTCACCCCACATTGCCATTCGTTGGCTGTAAACCCAGGCCGGTGACAAGGCTTGGGAGTCCAAAGAATTACTACCTTGGTTTTAGACCCATAAATCACCCTGAAATTGAAAATCTGTGTTGGTAGGTGTTTCTCCCAAGAAGGCAGCACACCTAGCCCTAGACATTTACAGCTGCCTTAGGCTCATATAGAAGCTTTCTATTTAGAACTCTTAACGTGTCCACTAGTCACTAGTTGGAATAGGAAGGTCCTCAAGCTCAACAAGTGTCGTCAGAGACCAACACCCTTGTAGGGGATGTTTCCAGGGAGTGCAACATGGTGGCTCGTCAGAACTCAGCGTCTCTTATTCACCAACCTGGTTCCCCGTCTTACTTATATTCGTTTACAGTATAAAGTTTACTTTTATAGAAGGAAATGCCATGTGTGACAATATGGATGAGCCTGGAGGGCATTACGTTAAGTAAAATAAGTCAGGCACAGAAAAACAAATGCTGTATGATCTCACTTTTATGTGGTATCTAAAAAAGTCAAACTCATAAAAGCCAAGGGTAGAATGGTGTCTGCTAGGGGTTGGGGGTGGGTGGGAGGGAGAAGTGGGGTGATATTGGTCAAAGAGTACAAATTTTCACTTAAGCAGGATGAAGAAGTTCTAGAGGTCTAATGTACAGCATGGTGATATAGCTAATCTGTAGTGTATGCTTGAAATTTGCTAAGAGACTAGATCTTAAGTGATCTCACTACACACACGCACACACACATAATGGTAACTATGTAAGGTGATGGATATATTAATTAGCTTGATTGTGGAGATCATTTGACAATGTATACATACATCACAACATCACACTATACTCCTCAAATATATACAATTTATATTTGTCAATTATACCTTACTAAAGCTGGAAAATAACTAAAGTTTAATGACAATTGTTTGTTATTTCAAGAAAGCTTTAATTTGGTAGTTGAGTTTGTTGGCCAAGCTGTTCTACCAAGAAGCAGGAAAGCAGCAGTGGGTTCGCCTTTAGGCCCCGCAGAGCAGGGGCAGGCCTAAGACAGGACAGGGAGAGGGGTAAGCTTCCCCTGCCTTCCTTGGGGACTTCCTGCAGTGGGTCCTGGCCTCAGCAGTCACAGTGGTCTGGGTAACTCCTCCCTTCAGGGGTGGGTGGGGGTAGGGCAGACTGGGAAAAAGTCTCAGCTGCTGCTTAAAGCAGCCCAGACAATTAATGGGCAGCTCCAGCTGGTGTCCTGAAAGAGAGACTGAAATCCTGTACCTTGTTTTCTTATGATTGAATGGCTTGTGGCATATATCCTGGAGTTACTCTAGTTTTTTAAGAAAATGTCAAGGACCACTTGTGTACAGCAGGTAGTAGCGTAATACAGGTCTAGACCAGGGACAACTCCAGGGCCTGCTACTGTGGCAAGGATAGCTTCTGAGAAGCCCACCGTCTTCCACCCCAAGAGAGCTTCTCGATGCGGGTAAGTCTTCCCTGGACAAACTCAAGGGGTTCCTGGTCCACCTGGACAGGAAGGGGATGGGAGAGATGTTTGCTTTGGTCCTGGGCCTTCAGACCATCCAAAGAGGCTGCTGCTAGTCAACAAAAAACAAACCCTAAGCGCATTAGATAATTCTGTCTCTGATACTCTTACTTCGTTTCTGTTTCATCTTAGGCTCTACTCCTTCAGAACTTCCAACCCTCTTTGCTTTTCCAGTCTTCACTTGTAGAACTCCCTTGGACATGGCTTACAGTCACAATCTTTTTCTTCCTTTCTGTGGCTTTAGATGACACCCAGCTCGATTCAGTCCTGAGTGGTCCTGTCTCTACATTAGCTTCTTTGCCGGTGCTCTGTCCAGGATTGTCAGGCCTGGTCCACAGTGGGTGGCCCAGCAGAGTGGGTGAGCGTATGCTAGGGAGGAGTGAATGTGTTTGCAAGTGGGGAAGCAATGATGGTGAGCAAAAAGAAATGCTACCACTACTCTACAGTCTTTCCACTCAGGGGACTTGAAGGTAGCAGTCTGCTTTGGTCAATTAAGGAATCTGATGACAGGGTACTCTGCAAGGCTGCTGAGGATCTAGGCTGGTTTGTTTAGGACATCAGGGAATAGCCAGTAGGCATGTTGGAGAGCCCTAAAGATCAGCACTGGGAAGAAGTACAGGCACAGGGCAGCATGTACAGGACAGGAAGGATGAGGACAGATGATCAGAGATTCTTGCATTTAGGATGGCCAGCAGAAGAAAACAGGATGAGAGGCATGGCAGGACTGGCTGGTATAGGTGGAGATGTCAGGTGACCTCTCCTGAAGGCCTGAAGTGGCTGATGGTCCCTGCTAAAAAGCTATCTTCAGCAGCTGGCTATGTAATCTTGGAGGCCTCAGTTTCCGAGGGTCAGGACTGGAGACATATTAAGTATTAATACAAGGCAAGACCAATCTCCTGGGAGGTTTTTGCTCAAGTGATCAGGAGAGGGTGTTGGATATCCCTCAGGACTCTTGTCATGTAATGGGTCAATCTGCACTGTGAACAGCCGAGTGAGGAACGCTCCCCCATTGTACTGTAGAAAAGAGGAAAAGCAGCAACTTCAAGAGGGCCAAAGGCAAGAGGAATTTCCCCCCTACGCATCTAGACAGTAAAAAAAATGACTCCATCCAAGACATGCCGTATGTCGGCTTTAGGTCATTTCACTCTTGGCAGAAGAGAGGCTGTTGAATTTCTCTGTACCGTTAGGTGCCTAAGCAAATGAGTTGGAGGTCTCTGAGGGAACTGGCCTCCATCTGTCATTTCTTGTATTTTAAAAGAGAAATCAATGATGGGTGGACTGAGCCCTCACTTATCCCTGGAGACAAAGCCCTAGTATTCTTATTGTAGCATTTTTCTCGCAGGTTTTTATGTCTATACGAGTTCAAGACCTTTTGGCTTTGGATCGATTGTCTAACCTCACTTACGCAAAATTTTCTTTTAGTAATAAAAGTGCTTCTTCAAGCAATAGTTTATACAAAACCACAATGCATGAAACAGAAAAAAACTCAGAATTTTATTAGCATGTATTTATTTTATAACTTCACATTTATAAATTTTACTTCATACACTGTCAATAAATGAGAACAATGAGGCCATTTTCATGAATACAAAAACACACAAAATCAGGGTGTATTGGATGATAACTGTATCACTTTGGTAGAACAGTATTGAAAAATATAACAGATAAATGATCACAAATGGTACCTTTTTAAAAAATGCTTTTCTTACTAACTCAGAATATTCTTCAGTTAAAATTATCCATGATCAGAAAGAATAATTTATTGTCTCAAATTTGAATCACTAAGCATAGTCAACAATTGCTAGAATACTTATCACAAAATAATAGACAACAAGCATTGGGACTTACCATAAGAGCTAAAACTGTTTCTAATGCAATGTTATCACAACTTGATGGACAGATTACATAGTTGCTGCACAACTCTTAGAGCAATAAAGAGCGCATGCATTGAGCAGACAATAAGCATCATGAAAATAATAATAAGGGTCTCAATGTAGTGAGGGCTTTCTATCTTCTAGACACCATGGTAAGTCCTTACAAGGCGTTATGTCATTTGATCCTAACATAACAGCCCTATTCTATTATCTTCCCATTTTTTGATGAGGAAACTGATGTTTGGAGAAGTTAGGCAACTTGTCTATTGTGTACACAAAGCTACCAGGGTGTGACACATCAACCAGCATTTCATTGAATGGTGCTCATTGATGCTCTACCAGTACACCACGTTACATCACAGGACACACATGGGCCTTTTTTAAACACTCATGAGGTGTTTAGCTCCCTTAATCTATGGACATTAAGATAAGTTCAGATATATGCCCAGATAGTGCAAGGAAACCTTTTTTCCACGGTCTGCCCAAAATGAGTCAATCTGGGAATAAAAGTGAGCCTGCTGGTGACTGTGTATCTAGGTGTTAAAATTTGGATACCAACACACTTGCATCTGCCTGTTATTTATTAGATTTTAGGGTTTAAAATACATTTTAAAGACAGAACTGCTGAAAAATCTCTGCACAATCTGAAAACCATGATCATGGTGGAGGTCAGATTAGCAAGAGTCAGAGAGCTCTGGACTCCTTGTCTTGGCTTTGCCACTTGTTAAGAAGTTGACATTGAAAAGACCACTTAACCCATCAGAACTTCAGTTTCTTTCAAAAAGAGCAAAATTACACTGCTTTGGGGTTACTGTACACATTAAATGAGACATGCACACAACACCAGGCACATAGTAGGCCCTCCTCTCCTCTTTGCCCTCTGTTGCCACTAAAAATCTTCTCTCACCAGACTGACCCGTTCACTAACTCCAAACTCTCCAGCGTGCCCCCCTGTAATGTCTGCCCCTTCTTGAGGACGCCTCTCACACTGGGAACCTCTTAAAAGCTGGGCTTAGGCGGAGTCATCGGTGTTTTCAGGGCCTAACACAGTGCCTGGAATTGTCTATCTGATGCCCAGCCGAGAAGTGGGAGGAGCACTTTCCAAAGGAGGGAAAGCAACCTGAAGGTGGAGGTGGTCGTCTTCATTTAACAATGACACTTCTGTTGGCTCCTACTGGTCTTGTATCCACACATAAGGTTACTTGGCTTTCACATGTGGAGGCCATGTCCTCAACGAGACTGTCACTCCTGAGAGCACGGCCATGCTCATAGGTACACGACTGTTACCTCCTGGAACAGGGCCTCACCCTGCTCGGGATGCAGAACTTGCCGATTTGAAAAAGGAAAACACCTGACAAGTCAAAAAACTTAGATTTTTAGATAGATTAACAAATGGTTCTTTTTCTCAAGTCAACTCTTATCTTCTATGGTATAGGTACCCTTTGGTCTATCTGGGGATGTTTAAAGGAAACCTGAGGTTTCCTTTAGCCTCACTATGTCATAGTTGGAATTTAATCTTTTGTTTATCGGTGATCTATGTAGGGTCCAAGAAACTCTCGGATACATTTTTTCTTAGAAAGGAGGACCACGACCTGGCTTGAATGCCTTGATTTCAATTGCATTCATTGAAGAAAGTAACATGGGAAAGGTCTTAGCCTGGTGAAGCGAACATCCCCAGGCCCACAGGCTGTGGGTCCCACTCTGAGTTGGCTTTTAGTCATCTGCCTCGTTATCCCAGTGACCATAGCCATCCCCTTCATCTGACTCTTCAATATTCTCATTTTCAAAAGAGGCCTCCTCCTCTTCCTCTTCTCGGATCACCTTCATTAACTCCAGGAAGCTGGGGGGAGGTCCCTGGTCTTTCAGCTCCCTAAGCCTACACCACAGGATCTCACTGAGGCTCGCCCCAGCCATGACCTGCTCTAAGCGGACCTGATCTGCGATATTCCTGGGGATGGCCCGTTTCTCCACGGCCCTCCGGAGCAGGGTCTCTAACCGCAACACGTAGGCTGAGACTTTCTCTCCTTCCTCCTGATAGGTCTTCAGGTATTTCACCTGTGAGGTCCTGCGGCTCTCCAGGCTTCCGAACACTTGCTTAAATGCCTCCAGACACTGTTCCACGCTTATGGAAGGACTGTCTGCCTGCACTATATGCATGAGGTCCAGGGCGGGGCCACGCAGGCTTTCCATCAACCACCTTTTCTTTTCTGCCTCTGCTACCGGCCACTCTTTGACTATCTCAGTGGCCTGTTCCAACCAGATTTCAAAGGGCTCTTCCCCTGGGGCGGGCACAGCGCTCCCCGAGAACACTCTCAGCTTCCGGTACCTCATGGGGAGTAGGGGCTGAGGGGCATGTGCTATTGCCTGTCCCAACAAATGGGCCAGTAACTCCGGTGAGATGCAGGGTACTGCGGCTGGAGATACTCCCTCATGACCAAGCGCTCGGAACATACCTGAGACTGTCTGCCCCTCTTTTTCTAGAAAGAGGTTCAGCCTTTCAAGAAATTCAGTGTCCTGGTTAGGGGTTTTAAAGACCACTTTCCAGATGCCCCCCTTCCCCTGAACCTCACTGGGGATCACTGAGACATCAATGTCCTCCATGAGCTCTAACAAGACAGCATTGGCATTCTCCTGTTTCCTGAATATTTTGCCGAGCAGTCTGTACCTGCCCAGAGACTTTAACGTCTCCTGGAGAACCTCCTGAATCTCAGTTTCATCATATTCCACTGGTATGCCCATGACCATCAATGATTTCTGATCATCCACACTCATTATCCGGCACCAGTCCTCCAACAGCGCCAGTGCCATCTTCACGAGGATTTATTTGCTCTAACTCTAAGGATATCAATTACGTTTGTGGTGCAGGTGGGCACTGCGTTAGGATTTCAAGTATCCTTTAAAGTAACCTCTAACCCACCAGTTAATGGGTCCAGGTCAGGTCACTCCAACATCAGTCTCCAAGTCTTCTGGATGGACCAGTAATCCTTACTTGTTCAGTGGCAAGTACTCAGCACTTCCAGGTATGTCTCTAGAACAGACCCAAGGTGCGTGGTTAGTGTCTCAGTTATGACAAGGTCACTGCCTGAGGCTCTACAGTCCGGTGGCTTCTGTTTCTCTCCCAGATGCCAGCAGCCATGTGGTGGTGTTGACCCTCTCTGACCAACGGAGGCACCTGCGAGAGCTGCTTTCACACTCTCTGGGTCTCTGCCGCCTCATCTTTCTCTAGTTAATGGGAAAACGCCTCCACTCTGGCACCCAGAAGTCCTGGAGAAAAGTCTCACAGCAAAATGGCTTGGACTCCTAGTGAAACAACGGTCAGTTACCACACAGCCCTCTCCTTCCCAGGAAGCATCCACACTCTAGTGATGGAAGTGATGGAGTGAAGGTAGAGGTTCTGTCTCACATTGTAGTTGTGCTATCCCACTCTGTCAGATCTCTTCTTTGCTCCTAGTGACTTATTTTCCCTCTTGGGGACCCTCCTGCCATCTTTCTACCCCACCATACACCCATCAGACCCACCAATTAATGTCTGAGCCCACTTATGGCTAGGATTCAAGATCCTTCCCACATGAAGAATGAAATGAGATGTGGCTAGATACCTGTTTATGTGTTCCAGCGTTCCATGAGTTGATGGGCTTATTTATTCAGCTTCTAGTACATGAGGATGTCACCCAACTCCATACAATGGTGTGCCTGGGTCCTTCTTAGCTCTGGCCAAGCCAAGCTGCCCTGCTGCACATAAATAATAGTGGTGTATTTTTATGGCTTGATAATATCCAATGAAGACTATCAGTGCGCTTCTTCAAAAATATGACAATCCTTCACAATTCCATCTACTAAACAATATAGTTGCTTCAGTTCTCTGATTAAAAAAAACCCAGTTAGAAATCACTCACTTAAAATCAATTAATATCAGTATAGCAATATAACTTATATACCTTAATATAATACAATACTATAGGTATAACAATTTAATATAGGTTTAACATTTAAAAAAAATTCTCAGGGCCAACTAAGTTCAACTTGGATTATGGATTCATGCTCTTTTGTTATGTCTGGTCAGGCTTTGCCAATGTACAAGTAGGTGTTTCTTTTGCTATGAATGTTAAGTTACTAACAAGACAGTATTGTAGCATTGAAACTTGAACTGGTCATTTGAGGCAAAGGGAAAAGACAGAGCACATGTATAGAGAGCCAGTGGAGACTGGGTAATGTAAACACGGAAAAGTTCCTCAAGTCTCCCAGTTCTGCTGTGGAGTGAGCGTTAGGGAGCTGCGATCCCTCTTCCTGAGGCCTGCAAAACTCCATCAAGCTGAGTGAGGGGCATATGCCACAGATGCCAACCTGGAGCCACAGTAGCAGCTGCTCCTGCCAATGCAGGCGCATTTCCCCAGTCCTTCTGGGAGGTGCCAGCTGCATGGCACGAGCCGGAGGTCCAGAAGGGCGAAATGGTGGATCATGCCCTGGCCCAGCCGCCCCGTGGATCTGAGCCCAGTGACTTCTCCATGCCTCACTTTCCCCTTCAACGTGAGTGCGACCTTCCTCCCACATTGTCATATTTAAGAGGAAACGTGAGATGTAAAAAGGCATCACATGTGCAGGAAGAAACATTTCCAAGGTCTATGGAATAACTGCCATGGCTTCTTCCTCCAAATGCAGTCCCTACCTGCAAGGTAACCTTCGAATAAAAAGATGGCAAGTGAACCACTGATTTTGATACACAGTCCACAGAAGGAAATATTTGGGTATGAAAAAAATGTGGAAATCTTGTATTTTCTAACATGAGGACACGATAAGTTGGAAAAAGAACCAGACTTTCAGGTGGAAGACTCCCCCCCACCCCCACCCCTACCCCTACACTCTTTGGAATTGTTGGATCATTTAATTAGTAACCTTGGGCAAAGAGTCTCAGTCTCTCTAAGTCTGTTTCCTACCCTGGAAAGTGGTGATGGAAAAGCACTCATCTCACGGGCTTTGAGTAGGAAATGATATAATTTGTATGGAAGCACTTTATTCAAATTAGAATCACATCCGGTGCTGAGTCTGAATGTCCGCCTCTGGGTCTTTCGGCTCCCTACACGTGTATATTGCTCTCTCGTCTTCCTCCCCTTCTCACCGGGAGACTCCTTCCCCCCTATCATGGTGGGCTCTTCCTCAACCTGTGACTGGCTGTCCTCCAAATTGAACTCCATTCACCAAACTATCCCTCACAATTGGGTTAGGGGAGAGTATCCACATTTAATCCTAATATGGTCAAGAGCTGACAATGGGACAGGATCCTTAGTGACACTTTCTGGCGCCGGCACACAGCCTCTTTTAGCCCAAATCCACCCTGATTACTGAGCATGCCCAGACCTCCCTCTCGAACCACCAAAGGATGGCTATCATCTTTGCAGGATATTGCCACGTGGAAAAAGCGGCGGGGCTGTACTCAATCAGAGGCAAAGATTGATACAAGGAAAGGACGTGGGGATGGGCGTGAGCAATGAAGCGCACTCAAGAGACCATGTTGTTGGCACATATCAAAATGCTCTCTGGATGCCCACCGACCCTGTAGCTGTGCCTGGTCTACCCGCACATACACAACCAAATCTCCACATACCAGTTCCCTGCATGGCCTCACAATAGTCCCCCCCCCCCCCCCCCCCACTGCACAAAGCTCTGGCGCAGTGCGCAACAGGGCGGGGTGGTGGTGGTGGTGGTGGAGGGGAGGCAGACAGGTAAGGGCTAGAGATTTGAGGAGTGGGTTGCGGTCTGTACCTTTCGCTCCTTTTTGGGGGTGGGGACAGAAGATACCAAATCAGGGCCCTTCTTGGCGCAGTGGCGCAATTACGGTACGTGGCGCCCTAGGGCACCATATCTGCACTCTCTTACTATGTATTAGTTGTGCTGGGCCGGAATCTGCAGACTATATTTTTGGCTACACTCTCAAGGACCGCAGACCTATGTCTCTTTATACCCCTCCCTCCACCATCACTTGCTACGCCTCTCTGCATTTCTCCTCGCCATGCTGTGCGCCCTTCACAACTGTGGATGCACTGAGTGAGAACCTTCTCGTTTCAATCTCTGCCCGCAACAGCCCACCAAAGCCCGTGGATAGACAGAAGCTTTGGTGTCCCGCGAATCGGGACATGGCCCCCACCGCTCCGCACGGTCTGCGCCATTCCTTCCCCATCCTCAGTGCGGCCTCTTCCCTTCTCCCCGGCTGTCTTGTCGCCAGCCAGTTTGTCTCCCTTTCCTCATCCATCAGCTCACGCCCCAGGTAAGAGGAGGGAGCCCTCCCCATAGTGCGCCCTAGCCCCCGGCCCACTTCCGCAGTGCGGTGGGGGAGAGGCGCCTGGGTCGCGCAGGAAGGAGAGAAGGGCTCGGGGGCCAGGGGCTGGCTGAGCCCTCGGGTCTTCGCCCAGCGTGCCTACCCCATACTCACCCTGGAGCCGAGAGTTGTCTGCGGGCTCTCCGCTCCGCATCCGTTAGCCGGTGGTCTGGCAGCTTCACTTCCGGAGCGCGGGGCTCTGGGCGGCGCAACCCTCTCCCCCCTCTCCTCCCGCGCTCCGCTCGGGTCCGAAGCTCCCGGCGCCGCGCCCCGCCCCCGCCCCGCCCGCGCCTCTCTCCGCCTGCAGCTGCCGGGAACTGGCAGCCTGTCACTCCCGCTGCCGCAGCGGCCGCCCTCCCAGACCCAACTTTGCAGCTCGCCGGAGCTCGCGAGGCGGCGGGGGGCGTGGGCAGGGAGGGGAAAAAGAGGGGTCAGGGGGAGGGACCGGGAGGGAGGGTCGCCCGCTCACCAGCCCTCCTTCCTTTCTGTGCACCTTGCGGTAGGCAGAGAGCGGCAGCCGCTGCAGAGGGCTGTGCACAGAAAGGCAGACTTAGGGATCGCAGACGGACGGGCGGACGGAGAGGACCCTCCCCGAGCCCCCGCGCCATGGCCGAGAGGAAGCAATCCGGGAAGGCGGCAGAGGACGAAGAGGTCCCTGCTTTTTTTAAAAACCTGGGTTCAGGCAGCCCCAAGCCCCGGCAGAAATTCTGTGGCATGTTCTGCCCGGTGGAAGGGTCCTCGGAGAACAAGACCATCGACTTCGACTCACTGTCGGTGGGCCGGGGCTCGGGGCAGGTGGTGGCCCAGCAACGGGACGTCGCCCACTTGGGCCCCGACCCGCAGCCACCGTACTCCCGGCAGGGCCGGCTCGCGGGTGGGGAGCCATCTGTTGAATCCGGCCGGAAGGTGGAGATCCGGCGGGCCTCGGGCAAGGAAGCCCTGCAGAACATCTACGACCAGGTTGGTATTGGGTGGTGGAGGTGTTTGAGATGGAGGACTGGGCGCAGAGATCGCCCCTCCCTCGCCCCCCTTCCAGCTCGGTGGAGAACCGAGCATCCCAGCGTGACCACCGTCCTGCCCCTCCCCGCATCTGTACACGCACCCCACCCTACCCGCCCCTTCTCCGCGAAGGGTACGGAGAGGTGCGGGCTCCGCTGTGGCGGCTGTGCGCCCACAAAGGCTGCTCGCGCTTCCCTGGGCCTGAGGGGTGGTGGTGGTAAAGGTTGGGCCGATCCCTGGCCGGGGGTCGCGAGGTGGGGGATGGGGATGGGCCGTGGTTCCATTCTTCTTAAATCCTCCGGGGCGGCTTCCGATTGCAGCTGTGGCTGGGTGCCCCACCCTTTTTTGGATGCAGCTCTGAGCGTGCAGGGAGGGACTGCGTGAAGGCCGGCGGGCTCCCTGGGGGTCAGGAGGGGCGGGGGCTTCGACGGCTGCTCCCCGCCGCGCCCTGCGCGCTCTCCTACAGCACCTCCTTCCTTGCCTTCCGTGCTCGGGTCCCGAGCTGGAGGCCAGGACCATGGTCAGCGCCTCCCGGACCGTCCTGGATAATCTCATCGCCCTGACTCCAGTTTGCAGCGTGAGAAGAACAAGGCAGGCGGTGGAGTTACCCGAAGAAACCGAGGCGCTCGTAAATAGCCCATGTGGAGAACTAAGTTCCGCTAAGTATCTCAGCAAGGGCTTCCCAGAGCGTTCCCCCTTACCCGCCCTATTTGGGAGGCGCTTTGGGGATAGGGACTAAAGTGGATTATGTTCAAAGGGTAAAAAGAAAAGGGAAAAAAAACCTTCACATTTTGGATCCAATGTCAAAGATGGATTGGCTCCCTCTATACTGTGTTAATGGGGAAACAAAGAGGACCAATTTGGTAAATTTTAATTTTAGAAAATGTTCGTCATTTCTGGCGAATAAGAACAGTGTGCATTTTAAGTGCAGTCGTCTTCTCACACCACGTTTTTTTTCCTTTATCAGGGTGACCTTCATACTTGTGCATTTCCCCCCCCCCCCCAGAGCTTTAATTCCTCAACTGATAAATTACAGTGTGAAATGTTTCAACGTTTGTTTGCTGTTTCTTTCCCAGGCCCATTGGTGAAGATGAGAAATCAGTCAATGGTTGATTATTTATTGAATACCTATTGTGTGCTGCCTTGTAGGGCAGGGGGACAGTTAGCTATATAAAAAGTTCAAGGTGATTTCTTCTTTGGAGGCTTTCAGAGTAGTTGGGAGTGGCCAATACATATTCACTGAGTGATTCTACACGGATTTATTTGGCTGGACTTCAGACAGTGTGCTTACAATGAACACATCAGAGGACAATTAAGAGTTGGTGATAATGGCATAAACATGTTACTGTTTCCTGCTGTGGCATAGAATTTTGCAGCTTTTCATTTTTGTCGGACCAACTGTAGGAAAGATAAACCATTTGTTGTCATTTTCAAAAGGTGGGCAACTAATTACTTGATTCCTTCTTCCCCAGCCCTGTCCTCTGATTTATTCATATAGGGAGGGGAGGGGCACCTGATATCCATATTTCACTATGAGTCAACCAGAAGAACTTAATCCAAAAAACTCACTTGATACCAAGTGATCAGACAATTGAAGTAAAAGTTTCTAGTAATGTAACTTGAAATGAAAGCCGAGTGAGTGTGAGATACTTCCCTATGTGAATACATCGGGTGAGGATCAAGCCATCATCATTAGAGCACAAAGAGCAGAACCTCTAATGTGACTCACATGCTTGTGTGAGTATCTCCATCTTAAACAACTTGTGCGGGTAATTCTAATATCCTAAAGGGAGCAGAAAGAAATGCCATGATATAAGGAAGAGATCATGTAAAAAAGATGGCAGCTCAAGGGGCGGAAGTTGACAGTGGTCACCTTGATAATGATGGCAGTGATTTAAAACTCAGACTTGAAAGGCAAAGTTTCACTGGGTTGAATACCCCATCTCTTTTCCTATGCATTTAGAAGTTCAGATATTTGATCATTAGAGTTACTTGTTTGAACACTCTCTAAATTTAATAGAAATGATAAAGCTAGAGAGCACACGGAGAGGGAGATTTGAAGAGGATACACCCAACCAAATCCCCAGGCACTTTTAGCTTCTGGAAACCCAAATTTGCTTCAGTTGCCTGGTTACTGGTAGCAGAGGGTGATTCTGGCTTGGTCTTTCTGCAACCTTCCCTGAATTTTCATTTTCAATCTTGCCTTATCACGTAAGGGCTGTTCCTTTGGGATGTGTTTCATTCATGACTAAGAGTATTTACCAGGATCAGTACTTACAGTGTTTGAATATTTCATGACTATTCCAGACAGAAAAAACATTTGGGCATGCGTGTGTGTAACAATGATGATTTCCAAAAGTACAGTTGGGCTCACCATTTTGGCTGAATCAAGTAGTCATTACTTAGTTTTCAGCGAATGAGCAGGGTGACTGCCAGCATCTCAGTACATTTTTATCTGAAGCCCTGGCACAGAGAGAGATGAGGAGATCCACTAGAGCGAGTGGATCTCTCAGGGCACCTGGCTCACATCCTTCCTCCTCCCCTGAATCTGTGTTTACAGGTGCTATTAATGCATGCAGAGTGGCTTTGTCCACCTGCCACCCTAGGGGTTCTGCTGTTCCTCTAGTAAGGCTTTGGGAAGGGAGGGAACACGCTTCCTTAGCCCAGATGCCACATGGCTTATGGGAGACTAGGGGAAGTTGAGTGTCTGCATCCCAGTGTGCAGGTGTCAACAGGTCAACACTAGAAAGCACTGGATTAGGTTTCCGTGAAAGGAAGAGCCAATGCTGTGAGTGCAAATGAGGAAAGTTTCTATCTCATTACTCTCTTTTCCCTTTGTGTCCTTGGGGGAAGTCCACCTTGGGCTGCAGTGAGGTTAAATTGATGACCTCTGTTAAGACTCTGAGCCTGTTGCAGAGATGGGAAGGGCACCACTGTTGGCCTTATTCTTTCTTACTGGTGCCCAGGGGTCCCTTAGTTTTCTCCCTTTCTCCTAAGAAATCCCTCAATTCCACCTCAGACACAGTTTAGCCAGAACCAGCTGCTCCACCAGGGAAAATAGATCATGAGCATCCCTTCCAATAGATTCCCAGGCCCTTCTCCCAGCAGCAAACAACCTGCATAAACTAGAGTGGCAGGGGGTGATTCTCCACTTCTCTGGGGCAGGTGTCAGTCAGTGAACTGCACAGAATGCTGCTGAACTTGACAAAATCACCAAGTCTGTAAAATGCTTTCCGATATTCCTTTCCATTCTATGTCCCTGTCCCCTCTCCCTATGTTGATGATCTCCCAGCCTTGGGTGCCCAGGGACTCTGCTGCCCTCTTACCCCTTTGTGATGGCGATGCCCCTTCTAGATCTTTCTTCTTCCAAAAACAATGAGTTCTGAAATTACTGTCTCCCCCTTTGCCCTCCCTTCTTTCATTCAAAATCCCCTCCTTGTGTTAATCTTAGCTAGAGAGAAATCCCAATGATTCAAGGCATCCATCTCTTCTGTGAATGACTGATACACAAGTTGTCCCCAGAGATACTTGTTTGATAATAGATTAGCCTGTTCAACAAAACGAACATCTAGTTAGCAGGATGTGTGGTAGAGATTTGGCTGGAAGCCTAGAACAAGGGCATTAATTTGATACTTTAGAGGCCACATTGTTTCAAAAGAGGACTCAGATATGAACATTTAGGTGTTCAGGATTCCAAAATACCCAGGACCCATCTGGGTTCAAAGGGAGAGTGGTTCTTGGGTAGGAGAAGGGAATGGTAATAATCCATAATTGTTGGTTGCTCTTGATTTCCCAGATGATTTTTTTAAGTAATCATATAATTAGTTAAATTAAAAAAACTCTACTTGTAGTGAAATACACATAACATAAAATTTACCGTTTTAACTATTTTTAAGTGTACAGTTCAGTAGTGTGAAATATATTCATATTGTTTTGCAACCCATCTCCAGAACTTTTTCATCTTGCAAAACAAACTCTGTGCCCATTAAGCAACAGCTCCCCATATTTTCTTTTCCCCAGCCCCTGGCAACCACCATTCTAGTTTGTCTCTATGAATCTGACTACTCTAGGTACCTCATATAAATGGAATCATACCGTGTTTGTCTTTTTTTGACTGGTTTATTTTACTTAGCATAATGTCCTTAAGGTTCACCCACATGGCATATGACAGGGTTTCTTTATTTTTTAAGGCTGCCTAATATTCCTATAGTTAGTCAATTTTAGTGAGTCGTTGATATTGAAAAGTTGTTGCTCAATTAATAGACCTGCAATGAATTAATTATG